CAATTGTTGATGGATAAAGCGAATTAAAATCTAAATAAGCAATTTTATGTTGTTCTGCGTCAGCGTCAAAGTACATTTGTAATGGGCCTGTTCTTCCACCAAAATAGCAGTCTCTAATATTTATTGGCCCTTTGTTATGATAATTTGCAAATGATTTTCGCATAATTTTGCTGCGACGTAGCATTCGACGAATTTCACATTCCCATATTATATCAACATTTTTGATATGTCTTCGAATAATTGCCAAACGATTTTCATCATCTTCTTTAGTCTTAGCCATTGTTTTTCCATTTGGTAGAATTTTATACAAATCATTTCCAAAGCATTTCTCACATGCATGCCAAGCACATCCATTTACCTCAATTGCTCTATCTTCCTCCTTTATATATCCATCTACCTTGTATCTTCCAGCTACCACATGTTCTCCACCTTCTGAATGTGCACTTTGGATTTGAACTCCTCGTGTCTCTTCGTACCATTGTAAATATTTTAGTGCAAGTTCACTTTGATTATCACAGTTTTCATAGCCTTTTTCAGGAACAATTGCCAAGTGTTCAGGCTGCAGATGGTTAAGTCGAAAATGCTTCATACAAGCTGATGCTATCGTCATTGCATCTCTTAAAATATCAATCCCTTCTTGTGATGATCCAGGTTGTGTCTTTTTATTTTTGCTAATTTCCATAAATTTTATTCTGAAAGCAATAAGTGCTTCTGTAAGAATTTGTACATCATTTGTGCAATATTCGGCCAATGCTTCGTCCAAACAAAATTGGTGATTTTTTTCTTCTTCATACCATTTATCAAATTCATTTTGCTTTTGAGGGGACATTCCTCCATATAAATAATCAGATTTTAAGGGTAATTGTTGAAGTGTTCGCCCATAATTTTCGGGGTTGTTTGCCAGGTGTGGGAAAAATTGTTTTTCAGTTACTTGTAGTCCAAATGCTCCAATCAGCTTCCCCAAGGCAACTGGGCATAGATTATACGAGTCACGAAATATAACCTCATTGCATTTATTGTTGCGCGGAATTTTTAATTCATAAAGCTTATTGCCACGGCGAATCATTGTCGGTATAACACCTTTCAAATAAATTTCTCTGAATACCATAACCATATCATAACGCCCTCCATTGTGTGAAAATGCCATGGTTGAATATTGTGGATTGAGTTCAAATAGAATCCATTGAATAAAGTCTTTGAGCGGATTTTGTGTGACAGTTTGTTTATCGACTTTTGTTCGAGTGAAAGGCTGATGTGAAAATGTTACTGATCGATTGTTTCCACAGATTGTGCAACTGTTTCCATTTTGTTTCAGAGGCGAACGCCATATTTTTCCATCTTCCATACATTTTGTACATGTTACTGTGGCGGCAATGAAATTTACTTTGTGGAGCCGTCTTTCTTCGTTTACATTATTTATTTTCTCATTTTGTGTTGCTTCAAAATCGAATGTTACTAGACGGTACGGTACTGATTTTTTAGGTTCCAATGGACGAATAAAGCACCCTCTATCAATGCTATGATATTGACGGCAAATTTGACACCATTTTTGTCCGCATACATGCTGCTTTTGCTCCTCTCTTTTATAATTTTTTATTGACCATATTACACCACACTTTTCACATATTTTTGTTTGCCGACAATTGCTGCCTTTTTTATGGTGCTCAAAGCAATCTTCATTTAAATACTTTTTCCCACAGTCTTCACATTTTTTGAAAAAGTTTATTGTTGGCATACAAGGACGTTCACTTCCAATACGTCCACAGAATCTACAGAGAGATTTACATTTCACGTCATGTTCTTTTGATTTTCTATACTTCTTTTCACAAGTAAAGCAATATTTGTGTTTAAATCCAAACATTCCTCCAACATTTCTTATTCCATCAAAATGATTATTTGAGTGAAAAATTGAGATTGGTACATTGAAATTATCATTTCCATATTTAAATATGGGCTTCTCATTGGCGCTTCCAAAAACAAATACTTTAAATTTATATCCTGTTTCTTTATATTGATTGTTCCAAAAATTTACAACAATTGGTACGTAAATCACCGCATCATATTCAGGTAGGTCATTTGGAATTTTTGCAGCTTTTAGGAGCTCGAAAACATCTTTCATTTGGCGATGACTGTATTGCAAATATCTATTAAATTTTCTTCTATCTCCCAACTCTTTAATAACATATTTTCTTGTAATTTCCAAAGCATAGAATAAGCATAAGTTGTTTGGATTAGCTATTTTAATAAATAGTTCATCTCTTAGTTGAAAATGGTCATTTTCTTTTTCTTGTGGTGCACGACCTTTAATCGATTGATTTGTCTGAAGTGATGAAATTCCCAGTGTATGGACTTTTATTGTGAAGGGGTACCCATACAGCGAACCCTTTTCTATCTTAGATTGCGAAACAAGTTGAAATCTAGTTAATATGTTGTCTATTGTATCTTTTTCTAGTTTTCTAATTGGTATCCATATATCGTTATCCAGTAACTGTGAAGAGATTAATGCTCCTAATCGGTCAGGATTAGTTGATTGATTCTTTGATGCCTCCACGGTTTGATCCATGCACTCTTGAATTATTTTTCTCAATAATTCCTCTGGATTTTCCGGTAGTTTTTCAATAATGAACTTTCCTGTCGTTCCCATCATTTTAAATTTACTATTATATTGAGTTTCATAATCAATTTGTCTGTAATAATTTTTCAGGGTTGTGCCCGCACCGCTTTGTGTGGTATTGAATAAGTGAGAAAGTAGATTCTCGATAAAGAATCTTGGGCGTTTATTTGGTGAATGACCATTTTGTCCATTATTAAAAGACATTGTATAAGTTTTAATTTTAAATTATTTTTAGTTTTTTTTATTTAAATGATGAAAAGAATGAAAAAATCTCACCTTTTATACTCACGATTTTGGAGTATATCCTAATTACGAAATACTTTTTTGAAGGAGACAGGAGAAATGTTACAACAAATTTGGGCTTCCTATAAAATCATTAATCATCATCAATCATTTGACTAATAGAAAAATTTAAATTAAAGCTGGCTTACAATATTTAAAAACATTTTAATTCATTTAATATTACAAAATTTTTTAACCTTCGTTCATTTTTATCCTATCCTTTTGTTTGTACTTCTGATCATTCACAATTCGAAAGTTGGTATTTCAAAATAATTTGTTACACCCCTTACATTTGTAATTCCGGACATTTTTTGAAATCATTTTAATTTTTTTTCAAAATTTGTCAAATTAATATTCACCTATTTTTATTTAATTAATTAATACATTTTTTGAATTCTAAATTTTGAATTTTTAATAAAATCTTTTTTTAATTTTTAAATTCGAAATTCCCGCCAATTTTTAGAATTTGAAATCTCTCTTATTTATATATTTGGCATTTTGAAGTCTGTCATTTTGTCAATTGACATTTTGTCGATGTGGCATTTTGTCGCTTGACATTTTTAAATTTACTATTTTATCGGGTGGCCTTTTGGTCATCGGTCTTTTGTCAATTGACATTTTGTCGATGTGGCATTTTGTCGCTTGACATTTTTAAATTTACTATTTTATCGGGTGGCCTTTTGGTCATCGGCCTTTTGTCTTATAGCATTTTGTCGATGTTGCATTTTGTCAAGTGACATTTTTAAAGTTGGTATTTCGAAATAATTAGCTCCGCCCCTTACATTCGTACTTCCGTTCATTTTTTAAAATCATTTTAATTTTTTTCTAAAATTTTGTCAAATTTGTTTCTCCCATTTTTAATTAATTATTTTTAGATTTTATAATTTATGTATTTTTATTATCCTTTGATATTGAGAAATTTTTTGAAAATTTTTAAATGCCACCCCCCTTCCCCCAATTTTTAAATTTGGCATTTCGAAATCCCCTTCAATTTGTACTTCCACTCTTTTTTTCAAATCATTTTATTTTTTTGTCAAAATTTTGTAAAAATTTTTTCTTCCCCATTTTTTAATTAATTATATATATATTTTTAATTTTTAATTAAAATCTTTTTTTAATTTTTAAATTAGAAATTCCCCCAATTTTTAATTTTTGAATTCCCTCCAATTTATAAATTTACCATTTTGTCAGTTGACATTTTGAAAGTTGGTATTTCGAAATAATTAGCCCCGCCCCCTTACATTTGTACTTCCGCTCTTTTTTTGAAATCATTTTAATTTTTTGTCAAAATTTTGTAAATTTATTTTTTATTATTTTTATTTATGTAATTAATATTATTTTTATTTAATTTATTTTTAAATTAAAAAGTCCCTTTAAAAATATTTCAAAATGTCAAATTTAATAATTTAAAACTTTATTATTTTTTCCACCCAGATCGCTCTTTTTTCTTAAACGTATTAATTTATTTGACACCTGTCATCACCCTTTACCTTCAAAAAGTAATTAATCATTTTAAATATGATTAATTACCCTCAACCTTTTATTAATCTCCCTTGAACCCCTTCAAAAGGTATAGGTTGGCGGCATAATCAAAAGAAAAAAATCATCAAAAGGTTTGGGTTTGGGGGGTGGGAGCGATTTGGGAGGAGCGATTTGGGGGGGGTTAACTACTAACTGGGACAAAAGGGTGGTTAGAAAAGAAAAATAGTGTGGTAAAAAAATTGTTCCCATTGGTTGTTTCCCATTGGCTCCCAAACCTTTAAGTTTCCATTGGTCAATCACACATTTGTTGCACGTTGTGCAACAAATGGGTGGGTCCTGCAACAAATTGGTGGTAAAAGTGGTGGTTAGGAAAATAGAATGTGTCTTCACCTTTTGGCTTCCTTTGATTTGCCGACACACCCCTCCTTTTGTCCCACTTTCAAGTGGGACAAAAGGGGGGGGGGGGGGGTTACTACTTAATTTATCAATGAAATTATTATTAAAAAATTTGTTTTAAAAAATTATAAAAAAGAATATTTTACCTAAATTTATTTTCATTGTAATCTATTATAATAGACATAATAATTGCTTTAATAATTAAATATAAATTTATTCACCTCAGTTTATAACTCTACAATTAAATGTACTTGCCAAGGAAGTTCTCTACTTTACAGACCCTTCAATAGCAAAAACTAATGAAGCTATAATTGATCTTTTAAGTTATTGCCGTGGTTCTAATGGGATCGTAAAAATGGCTGAGGTATATTTTCATTACTTCATTTTTGGAAACAAGCATAAATATACATATGTGATAAATAAGGCACGGATTTATATGGATTTACTTATTTTTAGATACTATGTTTTGAAGGAAGGATCTCAAATTTAGAGTTTTCATATGTTCTTACAGAGTCAATCTCACGAATGACTTTTTAATCAGTTTTTAGACAGTTTCAGTGTTAAAATATTTTAATACATACATATACATTTTAATATATAATTAGTAGTGTTTCACCGGAACCGAAATTTTGACCAGACCCGGAACCGGATACAATTTAAGTTCCGGTTCCCGGAACCGGAACTTTTAAAAAAACTCTTGCTAGCAAATTAAAAAAAATTTGTTTTTAAGTAGGGGGTGTCGGTTTCGCCAAATTCTTTGATTATATTCTGCCAAATTCTTCGGTTAATCGAAGATCCGAATAACCGAACCGAAACTTTCGGTCCGAAACCGAACCTAACTACTCAAATCCCCTGATATGGCCGACTCCACCAATTTCATGTTATCCTTTGATCCTCGAATTTCTTCAAATTATCCTTAGTCCCTCCAGATCCATAGATATCAAATCACCGATATACCATTATAACTATTGATACATCGAAATCCCCCAACATCACTACAAATCTTCATTAATTCATGCAAATTCTCAGTAATACCATATTCTTCCTTCCTTTTCAGCGCCGCAGGTGAAAATTTTGTGAATTTAGGAAGGCCTGGTGAGAAATTCCAAGTTTTGGAAGGCCAAATCCACAGCTATCTAATCCCTGATATCTACATTGCACAGCTCAATCCCTCGACATCACACCCAAATCCCTCGATATTACCTATGACCCCTTGAAATCACATGATGTAACTCAAAATCCACCTTCATCAAATCCTCTGATATACCATTCAACTTCCTTTTTCAGTGCCGCAGGCAAAAATTTTGAGAATTTGTGTGGACAAGGAGCTAGCGGAGCAGTTCAACTGAGTCCGCACGATTGAGTCCCCACGATTGAGTCCGCACGATTGAGTCCCCCTTGTATATACCTCAATTGAGTCCCCGTGGATTTAATTATATTAAAAATTCCATATCCGGCATGCGGGATTATTCCAAAATTTCTATTTTTTAAAGTATAAATGCCGGACAGACCACCTGTGCACCCCTGCTGAACCCCACATAACCTCCGTAGCAGCACAAAAACAGTTTTCCAGCGCAGATTCAGTTGGTTATAACTTTGTTCAGAATCATTAAAACAAGCTGATTTTGATGTCATTCGACTCAACTCGTCGAGCCCTTTCGAATGAGGTATAATTTAATATTCGAATTTTTTGTCCCCAAAAATTCCTCCATGGATTTGACTATTTTGAGCCCCATATCTCGGCGAGAACCATGTTGATTTTTGTGTCATTCGACTCAGCTCATTCGAATGAGCTGTCATTCAAAAAATCTCTCGATACCCCTCCTAATCCCCTAATCCACAATATCCACCCATATCCCCCTTAATCGCTTAAATCTACTTATATCTCTTAATATTCACCGATATCCAACTTGATCCCTCGATGTCACATACAGGTCCCCTGATGTTCACTTTAATCTCCCCAAATCCCCAGATATCCCTCTTAATCCTTTTTAATATAATTAAATCCACGGGGACTCAATTGAGGTATATACAAGGGGGACTCAATCGTGCGGACTCAATCGTGGGGACTCAATTGTGCCGGGACTCAATCGTGGGAACTCAATCGTGCGGACTCAATTGAGGTGTACCGTTAATATAATTTTTTAATTCGGAAACTTTAATTTTAAAAATGTTTTGGATTTTGCTGCAATATAAAAAATCTTTTATTAAACAGTTTTTAGAGATCATTCTAATGAAATTTTTTAATTTAAAATTTATGCAAATAATCTGATAATCTTTAAGAAATTATAAATGCAGTTTATTCAATGCCAGCCTATAAAACTATTCAAATACTTGAGGATATCGAGCTAATTATAAATGGCAAGATTTATTATTACAATAATTTTTTAAAATGATTACAGACAGGGCTGTGCGCCAAAATTTTCGCGTGGCGCGCCAAACGCCAATTTTTCAAATTTTAAAAACACGCCAAACGCAAAACGCCAAAAATCGGCCAAAATTAACGCCAAAACGCCAAACGCCATGACGCACAGCCCTGATTACAGAGAAAAAGTTTAGTTTAGCTAACTGAACTAGTTTAGTTTTGTGTAGTTTGCTTAATGTGATTTTTAAAATAATAGATCTAAAATTTTAATAGATCTGTTAGATCTTAAGTTTTTTAAATGTTTATTAAGTATTTTAATTGAAAAATCATTCAAAAATACTTTGGTTTCACAATCAGTATATTTTGCTAAATCATTCAAAGGCAAGGAGTATATGAGTGATCAAAAAGATACAAGTTGATTTATATGGATCAAAGATATAGCTGGGGATATAAGTGGATTTGACAGAATAAGTGTGGTTTCAAAGGATGTCAGTCAAAATTGTATAGCAGTCGAAACCACTGGTCAACTGATATTAGTCGAAACCGCAGTCGAAATTTTTTGATTTCTATAGGGACCGGATCTAGACGAGATCTTGAATAAAATCTCTATTATCGAGATCGAGATTTTTCAAAATCTTCTTTAGAGATTTTTTGATATCTTCTTTCGACAATTTCTGCGATTTTTGAAAATTTTGTTGAGTTAAGCATAAGATTGTCGGTTCCTAAAAAATCTATATGTATCCGAACCGGTCCGAAATATTTATTTATACTGAACCGTAGACATCCTGTGACCTAAACCTTTCCGTCTCTTTACAACATATAATGTTTCCTTTCCGTTACCCAAACCTTTGTTCATAATCCCCCGATCTTTAACTAAGTTAAAAACATAAATACTCAACCACGCATGTATTATATATGTTTCAAAGAGAATTTAATATTTCTTTAAAAAAGAATAACGACAAAGTAAAATGGGAGGAGATTTTATGATATTTCGAGGATAAATGTGAAATAATCGTTTGGGAGTAGGAATTCTACTATCTAGTCTGACTTCTTATTGCAATAAATAATCAAGCAAAAATTCTTAATGTTTTAACAGCCCTAGAAAATCACTTTATTTTATAGTAAAAATTTTAAAAAATTTATGAGTTTTTAGTAAAAATTCTTTAATAATTTTTAAAATTTCAACAATATTCTTACTTAAATATTTAATACTTTTATTTAGATTTTGAAACTTTCGGAAAAGCTATTGAACATATATACAGCGTGACCAAACATAAAAAATTGCCAGATCCTTCCCGGTATAATTTTTGTAGATAGTGTTGTGAATAGAAAAATTTTGTTTACAAAATAATTAAATTTATATTATTCAGGTGTTTAACAGATGCCGTTGTCAACGGTAACAAATATAATAGAAATAATGTATCATTTTTTGAAACCCTTGTTCAAATCGAGCTTTCAAGACTAGTAAGCTTTATTATGTAATTAACTAAAACAAAATTGATAATAAAGCGTGTTTTAGTTTGATTATTCTGAGAATATCGAATTAAATTTTAATCATTAAATATCCCGTCATAGATATTTTAAATTAACGGCTTTTCGTATTTAAAAATTTATTTTATATTTTGAAATATTTTATCTTTTCTTAAATTTTCCCCTTTTAAAGTGAAATTTATTTCAATTATTATTTTATTTTGAAAGTAATTTTATAGAAAAATTTTTTTAAAACTCAAAATTATTTATTTACATGATTTATTTTTAAAAGCTAATCGCAAGTACTCTTTGTGGAAAATTCATGTTTCCTACCGATCAAGCACGGTTTGATGCTTTTTTAACAAATGTAGGAAATGAAGTAAGCAGAACATCGCAATTTCTTGCGAATTATATTCCCTCCAAATTGGTAATTTTAAACCTTATTCAAAATATTTAAATAGAATTTGATTGAATCGAATTTAACATTCTAATTACCTATATTTTAAAACTTAATTCTAATTATATAATTGAGAAGGGTATGTGTGTCTGTCTGTCCTTTTATAGACAAGTTGCTTTTATAGTAAACTGATTGGGGGAGTGAGGAAATGGGGGGTTTTTATAGTAAAGCGTTGCCAGTTGAAAAAAGTTGTAAGGGTAAAAAGATAGTATAAAAGCAGGTTATTTTGGTCATTCCACACCTGCTACCAACACATCTCAACTTTACTGTGCTCTGTTCTACGTCAACGTTTGCTGGAGTACTGTGTCCTGCTGGAGAGGAGCCAAGCGTCAACGTTCATTTGTCAAGTGCTAGGCGTCAACGTTCCTGTGCTAGACGTCAACGTTCATTTGTCAAGTTCTAGGCGTCAACGTTCCTGTGCTAGACGTCAACGTTCATTTGTCAAGTTCTAGGCGTCAACGTTCCTGTGCTAGACGTCAACGTTCATTTGTCAAGTTCTAGGCGTCAACGTTCATTTGAAGTGCTAGACGTCAACGTTCATTTGAAGTGCTAGACTTCAACGTTCATTAGAAGTGCTAGACGTCAACGTTCATTTGAAGTGTGCTAGACGTCAACGTTCATGTGTCAAGTGCTAGACGTCAACGTTCATTTGAAGTGTGCTAGACGTCAACGTTCATGTGTCAAGTGCTAGGCGTCAACGTTCATTTGTCAAGTGCTAGGCGTCAACGTTTATTTGTCAAGTGCTAGGCAGCAACGTTATTTGTCAAGTGCTAGGCGGCAACGTTCATTTGTCAAGTGCTAGGCGTCAATGTTCATTTGTCAAGTGCTAGGCGTCAACGTTCATGTGTCAAGTGCTAGACGTCAACGTTCATTTGAAGTGCTGGACGTCAACGTTCATTTGAAGTGCTAAACGTCAACGTTTATGTGTCAAAGACGTCAACGTTTATGTGTCAAGTGTCAATGAGCATTGAAGAGCTAGACGTCAACGTCCATGTGTCAAGTGCTAGACGTCAACGAGCATGTGAAGAGCTTGGCGTCAACGTTCAAGTGTCAAGTGATAGGCGTCAAATTTTAGGCGAATTTTGAAGGGGGAATTGTGAAACAGGCGGAATATTGAAACAGTGGAAATAGTGAAGCAGGCGGAATATTTAAACAGGGAAATTGTGAAGCATGCGGAATATTTAAACAGGGAAGTAGTGAAGCAGACGGAATATTTAAACAGGTGGAATTGTGAAGCAGGCGGAATATTGAAACAGGTGGAATTGTGAAACAGGCGGAATATTGAAACAGTGGGAATAGTGAAGCAGGCGGAATATTCAAACAAGGGGGATTGTGAAGCAGGCTGAATATTTAAACAGGGGAATTGTGAAGCATGCGTAATATTAAAAAAGAGGGAATGAAGGGGGATTGTGAAGCAGACGGAATATTGAAACAGGGCGGATTGTGAACAAGGTTAATTGAAACAAGGTTAATTGTGAAGCAGGTGGAATTGTGAGGAGAAAAATGGGTAAGCGAGATGGGTCGGCCGAAGGCTTTTGAATCGGATCTTGAGTTGAATAGTTTTGTTATGCTAGCGGAAAGGGAGATTTTGAGGTTGTGATAAGTTGATTTTGAGTTTGTTTTTTGGTTTTGTTTTGTTTTTGCTAGCGGGGTGGGGCGGCCGAAGGCCGACCAACTCCGCTAGTTAAATTATATTTTAACATCAGAAATAGATACATATATTTAATTTAGTCACTCTGGTTCAATCTTAGTGTTATTTATAGTCAATTAATTAAGTTAAAATAACTTTTTAATGTTTTTATTTTCAGTAAAATTTTTCGCTAATAAATTATAATTTATATAAATAAAATTTATATTATTAATTTCATTAAGTTAATTTGTTAATAAAATATTTAGAATATGTCAGGAGCAGCTGAAAGACTTATAATTGCCGAAACAATTAAACAATTCCCTGGAACTGGAGATATTCCTCATCCTGAATTTAATACTCTGGTTAATTTATTATATGAAAGCTTAAAACACATTGGGCATAAAAGGTTGGATTTCATATTTATATACACTTGTTATTGTTCCTCATTATTACACAAATATTTTTCCTTGTATACGAGGATCAGAAATAAGATTTGATTTTTTTAAATTCAATATTTTTCACTCAAAAAGGGGAAATAGTGCCAAACAGTGGGGTTGCTGTACAAGTATCCGAAACCTGGACTTTTTTACTCGTCCGGATAAATTTTTCAAAATCTGGCTTTTTGGCCGGTGTTAAGTTGATCTTTGTTGGTTTGGAGGAATATCTTAGCCACCTACTTCCTCTAACTACTCTTATTCCTAATAATCACTTGATACTACTAAATTATGTGACATATAGTGGTTTGGATGAATAATGATTAGGAGTGATATCGGGTATACACGGGATTAAGACGTATATAATTGGATCTAGGGGAGTCAAGGTGATTTAACTAGATACAAAATAGATGTCAGGTGAGTTTCGAAACTAACGGAAGATAAGGGAAATCAGTGAATTTGAAGTCATTACTGGGATATAAGAGGATTACTGGGCATATCAAGGGGCAAGTAATCTTTATGAATTTTAAGGCCAAGAAGCCATAATTTTCACTTTTTTCGCGCCGCCTACAAAAATTTTTAGAATTTTGAAAGGTAAAGATGAAAATTTTTTTCAATTTTTTACTTATAGTTTTTGCGTTTTTGATACATTAAAAAGTATGATTAAGTAACTAAGAAGAGTTTGTTTGATAATTAGGAAGGGTTAGAGTAAAATAATTATAAAATATTGCGATTTTTTTTACTTTTAACATTTAATTTAGAATTGAAAAACAAATTTTAATTTACCCATCAGAGGAATCAATAAAACAATATAATGGAATAAGTATTTGTCCTGAATACTACTGTGATATAATATTAAATCAACGTGGTGTTAATGTTGTTATAGCAAGATTTAACAAAGATAATGTCTTTCTTGCTAAATCACTTCAAATACGAGTTGGAGAACTTAAACCAAAAATTGTGAATGTTTTAAAGTAGGATCAATAATTTTATTATTTAAAGGTGTACTAATTAGTTGTAATTTAGCTTGCAGCACTGAAAATCGAAAAATAGAAATATATTATAACCTAAACTGCGTATAATTAGTAGAGTTGGGCGGTATCGGAATTCCGACCTAATAACCAAGAGAAGACCAAGAGAAAACCTTCCAAATCTATCGATATTCACTCTAATCCTCTGACATCATCTTCATCCACGGATATACTACAAATTCAACTTTATACCTCAAATCAACTTCGGGGATTAGCGGGGATATCGGTGGACTTTTTGGGGGCACTAGGGAGCCTCCGATAATGGAATGATATCCATCAATATGGGGACCTGACCTGCATAAAACGTTTCGTTTTTTATTAAGCTTCGTTTCATTAGGTGAAGAAACAGTTTTTAATTAATTAGAAGGCCATCTAATTTCGTCCATAAACAAATGAGAAATCAATCCTTAGGGGTGAAACCGGTATAATACCGTTCAATACTGGTCGGGATCAGACATGCACGAAACTGCAAAATTTTTTCAGACGAAACGAAACGAAACAAAATTTTTTAAAAATTGTTTCGTTAACGAAACGAGACGAAACTTTATAAATTTAGCGAAACGAAACGAAACAGAACGAAACATTTTAATTTTCAAAAAATTTAACAAAAACGTTTTATTTTTTAAATTATTCTATTTTAAGCACGTTATTATGCCAGTTATGGCCTATATATAATCTTATAGCTTTGTGGGACCTTAAATTGTGGTTCCAAGCTCCAAAATTTTCGCGTGTTTCCCTCTTTATCCACTATATCAGTCTTAATTCCGGCAAATCGACTACTATCGAATTATCTGTTGGGAAAATGTGTAAATCAGGGATCCTGCCGTTTCTAAAATCAGCGAATAATTTTGTCGGAAATTACTATTCCCGAAACCTGCTCCTGAATCGCGACTATTTTTTTGATTTAAATTTTAAACCCTCCAAATCCACCGATATCCGTTTACTCTCCTAATTTCCTATACCACCATTTCTCCCGCCTAATCCCCTGATATTCCTCTACTCAGTCAGATTTTTTGTTGATTAACAACGTTCATGATTAGTGTTGGCAAAATGGACCAACTCGGATTTGGCCCGAGAAAGACTCGTACTGGCGCGACTCGAAAACGGCAACCCTATTCATGATCATTGGCATCTTTCGTTCCTCATTTATTGAAATTTTAAATTCAATTCTTTTACAACCGACCCTGATTGGCAAGAGGTAGACCCTTTCTACATGCCTAATCTGGCATGGAATTCGAACTTTGCCTAATCTGGCATGGAAAATTAAACGGGAAATTCTAAAAAATATAGTAAATTATGCGCCGTAGGCGCTTAAAATCCAGATTTCTGCGCCGCAGGCAAAAATTTTTTAAATTTTAATCACAAAGGGGATTTTTTTTTTGTTTTTGGGTAATATTTTGGGCTATAAAATTGGTAATGCTTCGTTAACGAAACACAGGTGTTTTGTTAACAAAACGAAACGAAACAAATTAAAAAGTGTTTCGTCACGAAACGAGACGAAACAGTAAAAAACATAACGAAACAACGAAACGAAACGTATCGTGCATGTCTGGTCGGGATCCCGATACAGCCCAACTCTATTAGTTAGTGCAAAATTTATATTTTGTGATAAAATACTTGGGTTGCAAAAATTTTTAGATAACTTTCGAAGAATTGTTTTCGATCTCGTTGTCAGAAAATTTTTCATTATTTTAAAATTATGTATTTTCATTTCAGAGAAAAATATTACCTTGATTTAAAAGAATTACTTGGTCAATTTAAATTAAACAACATATTCTTAGTCGACCAATATTTGACTAAAACAGCATCAATTGTTCGTCATAAAACATTTTGTTCAGTTGCTTGTACATACTTTGCAACAACAAAATCATACCAACGTGAGAAATACGAACTTCCTTTTCTTGACTATTTTGTTTATAATAATGGTCGTGACAGAGGATGGTTTGAGGACAACACCTGCTACGCAATATATTTTTTCTTATAATACTTAAAGGAAGGATATGATATCTAAAAGGAAATACCTATATACTATAAGAAATATTCATATAAAAATAATAAAATAATATTTTTTTATTTAAAAATTAAAAAATTATAAAGTTCATAAAGTTCCCTTCCTTGAGATTAAAGAGACTCAATTAACCTTAAATGTACACTGAGGTGCAAAAGTTTGTCTACACCGATTGGCTTTCAAAATCCAAAAATGTACGTCTGTAGATCTAAAAAAAATTTAATCTCCCTAAGCTTCTTCGCAAAGAAAAACAAAGACAATCATTTTTAAAAAATATATTTTTGAGCAAAAAAATTATATAATTAATAAATTTGGCAAATTAAAAATTTTTTAAATGACAATTTAAGCAAAAATTTTCATTAAATCTGTTTGTTCTAATTTTCCTTCTTCAAGCCTTTGCCGTAAATCCTCACAAAGGGGCATATATTGCTTTATTTTTGTATCAAAAAAGAAAACCCGTTGTTGATCTTCCAAAGAAATACTTGGGGGGTTGCCTAGTGCTAACCTTTGCAAATTTGTTTTGACTAATTTAAATGTACCTATTAAAAAATTATTCTTTTATTTTCCATTGAAAATATATTTTAGGGGAGACTTTTTTGACCTTAACAATCAAACATTAAGACTGCACAAATCATAGCTTATAAAGAGGTGTATCTTAGATAAGGGATCTTGTTTTAATGTAGTCTATATTAGTTATGTTCGGGAGTTAAAAAAAGCCGAGAGTCGAGACCGAGACTGGGAATTGACACCGAGCCGAGAGCTCAAAAAACTGAGAGATTTCCCGACTCGGGAACCAAGACTGAGTTTCTCAAAGATCACTAATACTATCCAGTCGGATCTCGGTTGTACAGGAGAATTGAAAAGGCAGCTCCTCCCATTGTTAGACAACTCTTCACATCCAGTGGCTAACCCAACTTTTAGGTAACTTAAAAAATTGCAAACTTAAAGTACCTACAATCGAGATCTGACTATATTTATAAAAATTTTTTAATCCTCCTAACATTTATAACCTAATTCATATTATTTTCACTCGCTGTTAGTTTATTATTTTTTTAAATGTGATAGCCAAATAAAAAAATATATTTTATAAAACAAAATTTACCAGTTCTATCAACAGAACTACAAATACGAATAAATCGAGGAATTGCATATGGAGGTAAAGCTGCTCTAAGACGCGCACTTAATTGTTGAAGAAATTCCTTTAAATTAATTTAATTTTTATTTAAAAAATCCAAAAATATCAACCTCATCAGGTGTTTGTTCAATTCTATTTCTTACAATTGCTGCCATACCTATACTACCTTCGATTCCTGGAATATTTATTCCATAAACTACAGCGTCGATAATACTTTTTAAAGGAAGAAGAACACCTTCCTAAAAAGCAAATTTTTGTAAAAAATTTTTGCTCAAGAGATTTGCAAATGAAAAACTCATGAAAATTCCTCAAAAATATTTTTCGATCTTGTAAAAGTCAATCGGACACAAAAACGTACCAAGAGGCAAGGTGTTTTTGTTTTTTTAATTTTCTAATACAAATATGGCATTAAAAAATTACGGGTTGATCAAGAATAGAGATTGATCAAGATTAAGATAGATATCTCTAAAAATGACCTTGTGATCTGGTCACTTTGAAGGGATCCGATCTCTAATCATATATTCATGAAATATTTTTTCATCTTTTAAAAATTTTTTAAATTTTCTTGATAAAAATTTATTTATTGAGTTATTGTTTTGAGCTGGATAGAAAAATTAAGGATCTAAAGTTCGGATATCTTCATAATTTCCGGAGGTTCACCAAAATGGTTAGATTCTGGCAAGATTGCAAGATTCATAATCAGGGTTGCCAGATGTACTTATTTTGGAAGTACTGTACTTACAAATCAACCTTCGTACTTCCAAAATTAAAAATGTACTTATTTGTAAGTACGTACTTACAAATAGACTTTTTGGTTAAAAAATTGAATTTAACCTTAAAATTCTCAAAATTTTCGCCTGCGGCGCAAAAAATGGAAGAAATCTGGCTTAAGGACCTCCAAAATTCTCAAAATTTTCGCCTGCGGCGCTGAAAATGGAAGGAGTTTGTCTTATGGCCCTACAAAATTCTCAAAAATTTTTTTGCCTGCGGCGCAGAGAATGAAGAAATCTGTCTTATGACCTACCAAAATTTCCAAAATTTTTTCCTTTGCCGCTTATAAAACTCATTTGGATAAGAATATAAAATATTTGAGCTAAAGTAAATTTTTTAGATTCTATTTTTGGAGCGTACTTATATTTTAAAATTTTTTCACCCTATGTACTTCCAAATTGAACTTTTTGTACTTACAATTAACATTTTCCAGATGGCAGCCCTGTTCATAATCCTCCTAATTCGGCATGTTTTTCCGAACGCAAATTTAAAAATTTTTAAATTTATTTACCACTTCTGTAGTGCTAACATTCTCTCCTTTAAACCGAAAAGTATCTCCAGTACGTAATCTAAAATATAAATATCCAAGTCTATCCCAATGTAAAATATCTCCAGTTAAGAAAGCACTATCTCCATGCCGGAAAACATTTTGAATTACTTTTTTTTCTTTAAAAAATAATTTTTTTAATTTTTCAAAATTAAAAACTTGTTTCTGTTTTATTTAAATATCCATCAAAAACAAGTAAAGGATTATCATGACGAATTGTTGAAACCTTTTTAATGGGAGGTAAAATAATAAATTTTATAATATTACCATTGCTCCTGTTTGTCCTGAAAATTTAAATAAGTTAATTGGAAAATTTATTGGTTGATAATGTTCTTAATAAATTGTGCACTTGGTTTTATGATTTTTAGTGACCAAAGAGATTTGATGTAACCGACAATTCTCTAACTACGTTTAAGTGCTTTAACAACTTAGACACCGGAACGATACCCCTTCTTATTCCCTTATACAAAATTAATTACCAGGCCTGCATGGAACAGCTAACCCATTAGGTTTTCTTATAATTTCACCATTATCATCAACTTTAACGAGCCGAACAGGATGAACTAATGCCGTTATTGGAGATATAGGCAAAAATCCACATGCACCAATTTTGCCATCAACATTGACTTTTTATTTAAATATAAATTATTTTTTAAGATATGCGACAATTTTTGTAAGGCGCACCCTTGGAGCTAAAATATTGCATCGTATCATAAGGAGAATTAAGGGGCACTTCCTATATAGCTCCCCATCTAATGTCCAACCATCTCTTCAAAAGGTGAATTAAATGGAAGTATGTGGAATCCTGCCGACAAAAAAACAAAATTCTTGATTTCGTGAAATCGGGATCCCGACCCAAAAAATCTCGGAAATTCCCGATTTTCGGAAATTAGGACGTTAGGAACCCTGGTGTGTACATATGAATGTAACTTACAACTAGAGATCGGACCGTACCGTACTACGGCCGTATTTTTCGGTATTTATCGGTATTCCGTATCGGTAATACGGTACGGAATACGGTACGGTAAAATTTTGAAGTTGATCGGTATTTTTCGGTATCGGTATTTTTCGGTATTCCGTACCGTTTTACGGAACGGAAACAAAACAAAATACCGATAATACCGATCGATAAAAATTATCAAAGTTTTATTTTATTTTAAGTGAAAAAAGGCTCTCGGCCTTTGATAATTTTCAAAATTTTCGCCTGCGGCGCTAAAAATTGAAGAAATCTTGCTTCTTGGACTTACATCTCCTCAAAATTTTCGCTTGCGTCTGTTTATCCCCCCAATTTATAAATAAAAATAATTATTTTTAACTAAATTAGTTTTTTAAAATACGGTACGGAATACCGATAAATTTTTATCGGTATTTTTCGGTATTCCGTACCGTTTTACGAAACGGTAAAATTTTGAATTTTATCGGTATTTTTCGGTATCGGTATTATGCGGTATTACGGTACGGAATACGGTATGAACAAAATTCCGATCTCTACTTATAACGAGTTCTGACATTGTTTTATTTACCTAAATTAGAAGTTCCTTCAGTAGATCCATACAATTCACCAATTTTAACATTAAATCTTTCCACAAATTCTTTCCATATTTCTGCTCTCAATCCATTCCCAAACATTATACGAACTTTATGTTTTTTCTCATATTCACCAATAGGTTGAGCTAATAAATACCGACAAATCTCACCAATATATTGACTTGACTATAAAGTTGATTATTTAAATTATAACTATGAAACAAGTAATTTATTAAAATTTAGGGTATATTCCCTCATTTGATGAAACAGAACAGTTTATCGCTCTTTTTTATAAGAAAGAATTCATCTGTGGGATCACTCTAAGAGATTATATCGAGCAATAATGTGAGAGTAAGTGTAAGGGGATTTGGGGATCAATAATCTGCCAGGGACTGGTAAAATTAGATAGATTTAAGGGATTAGCAGGGTTTGGGGATTATAGGATTTAAAAAAATGTGGTATTTGAAGATTAAGAGGTTATATGTAGTAAGATATCTTCTTAAACCATCTCCTTCCCTCACGTCTAGGGCTTTAGGCCTAAATTTTGACCATTGGAAAATATTTGTCTTTAAAATCTAGAATAAATAGCTTACAGTGCAATTATAATCTACACAATCTTTCCAAAAATTACTAGCAGAGAATCGTTGTCTAATAGCACAACTAGCCCCTCTAAATAACACTTGACCAATACCAAGGATACCAGCAGCCGTGTGATATAAAGGCATTGAGATATATATTTTATCTGTTGGTAATAAGCCAAAACTATAAGCACAACCAACAACCATTGAATAACAACTTTAAATTTTATTATTTAAGAAAATCTAATCCTAGTAAAGTAGTATTTTCCTAAATTATAAGTAAAAGCAAAGCTTATAGGAGGGTAGGAGGACACTTTATATGTGGGCACCTTACAGCTCCTGATTCAGGCCCAAGCCAGGCTTACAAGAGAGCGCCCAATTTGACTTTATAAAGCATTTAGATTAGGTTCGAGGTAGAAGCTTGAGATTCCTATCTCAGAGGCTTAAGATCCTGATTCAGGCCCAAGCCAGGCTTTCTCCTTCTGCTCACTAACGACTAGGCTTTCTATTTTAATAGATCTTAAACTAGTTGATCTCCCTCCTTCTTCAGTATGTTAAACATATCACTTTTCTTTATGTCAGCTAAGTTGGGTCCGTCTCGGTGGGTGATATTAAAATTTTTCTTAAAAATTTTCCCAACCGAAAGTGCTTAATACAAGCAGGTTTAGGCATTCCAGTAGTTCCACTTGTATAAATAAAACAAAGTAGGGAATGAAAATTAATTGTTTCATCGTGTATCGGTTCCTCAGCTTCTGCATAATTTAACCAATTATAACTTAATATTCGACCATCTTCAAAATTATTTATCACTTTCTTATTGTCAATTATAAATTCTTGAATATTTTGGAAATTTAATAGACCCGCATCTTTTGTTTTTTGATAAACTAAAATTAAAAAGAAATTTAAATATTTTTTTAAAGCTTGCATTGATAAAGTGAATTTGAGCAAATAATTGCCTTGCATTCTGAAACACGTAAACAACTAGAAATTTATAAATTAGAATAAATTTTTCATTAAAACGAACTGGGCTAAAGAGTCAAGGCGCAGGTTGGAATTAATCCATGCTTAAAAATAATTAAATAAGATTATCTATTGTTTTATTATCCCATATAATTTATAAATATTTTGTAAATCTTTGCAGGTTTCAAGCTAAACGAAGATTTCTGATTCGGTCTAGATTAAGCAACGTAGGTATATAGTAAACAGACAAATCTCATTAATATCTAGATTTGTGGGATCCTAATAAATCCTCAGATATCTGGATACGAAACCTTTATCTGAACCGAAGAAGTCCGGATATCCTAACTATCTTCGGATCTGTATTTCTGGATACGCAACCATAATTATGTATATGTACTATTTTGTTTTTTATTACAAGCATAAGAGAAATTTATTAGATAATTTTTTTTAAATTAAGTTGTACATACAAAGTTTGTTCAAATAAATGAAGAATTTTTTTCAAAAAATCAAGAAATTCCTAATACCTGTAATTACCCCAATTTTCATTAACCCAATCCAAGCAGCTACAAATTCTGCCCCATTCTCCATAAATAAAGCAACAACATCGCCTCGTTTAAATCCATTATTTCGGAAATGATTAGCGAAACGATTAGATAAAGAATTTAATTGAGAGAATGTGTAAGAACGATTTGAGCCCTTTAAATAATTTTTAAAGTTTTTATTTAAATTAATATAAAAATTTAAATTTTCAGTAAGAATTTATTATACAAGAATTCGGAATTTCCTAAAACCTATAGGCTCGGGATTTTGCAAAGAATGAGAAGTTAGAACAACATGTTAGTACAACGGTTCAGTTGTTCGGAGCCTTAATGAATTCTTAGCTCTCCTGTCTCCAATCTACCTTTTTCAGAACAGAGGTTTTTGAGAGGATTTAAGGAGGCCCTCCATATATGTTGGACTAACACAATATCATGGTTGTCGATTTCGGATATCCTAAGAAAATTTTCTGACACAACAAAAAGGATACTAAAAATTCTTCATAAACTATGTTCAGTCCGAATAAAATAAATTATTACCATAATTAAAAATTAATTAATTAAATAAAAAAACTAACAATATCAACAATACAAATTTTATTTGGATTAGCACGAACAACATCCAAAAATATTTTATGAAGTCCCCGATTTTCACGCATTCGACGTCTCATATCCCAACGTAATTTAACCAGAAGGCGAAGACCGCTAATTTTTAATTAAAAAATATTTTTCTAGATAAAAATTACATCAAGTCTCTATCCAAAGTTAGCCAAGAACGATGTACAAAATCCCCAAGAATATTTATTTTTTCCTTCATATCTCTAAATTTTAGTAACAGAAAAATAATTCCCGTTGTTAAGAGAAGTAGCCAGGTTGTCCGATTTATTGTCCTTTTTTAGAAAAAAATTTACTTTTGATAAAATTGATAAAAATAAGATAAAAATATTTAAAAATATTTTGTGAAACCTCAATAAGATATTTTGAAAAACCTTAAAAAAAGGTTGGCTTAGGACGGAATCAAGTAAGAGAATTTAGGGATATCTTCCCGAAATCAAGGTATTTTGCAATTTTTATGATTAATCCTATAGGTCTTGTCTAACAAAAAGTTTTAAGCTATCGTAGTTAAGGGATCGAAGGTTTCTAATTTTACTGTACATCTGATTTAAAGCTAAATTATCTTACTTCTCCCACGAAAAAATTAAGGTTTATAAAAGAGTGAGAGCTTATTCGTGTCTACACGCAGAAGTAAAAATTTTAAAATAAAAAATTATTTTATAGATGCATTCAAGATTTAATTGAAAATTACCTAAATATTTCAATTGCCCATATTCCAAATAATAAAATAATTAAAATAAATAAAGGCTGTTCAATTGATGTACGTACTAATTTTGAAAACCCTCCCATCAATCTTTTTTAAATAATTTTTATTAGGGTAATAAAAAATTTTTTTCTAAACTAAAATTTTTTTGGAAATTCCAAAAATAATTAAAAAGAAATAAAAAATAATAAAAAAATTTTGAAAGTAAATTAATTATAAAAGTGAAAATAAAAAAATATTTGCAAGGAAATTATTAATTTCCTTTCTATTTTTATTTGAAATTTATGCAAAAAAAATTTTTTTTATTTTTATGAATTTATTATAAAACAAGATTATTACGTATATAAAATAATTAATAAATATTTAGAATTTGGAAGAAAATTTTTTTCAAAAAATTTGTTATTAATTTAAAAAATAAAATTAAACTAAAGGTTATTTTGTTAATGATACTTTTGAAAGGTACGTAACAGGGATAGATAATTCTCAGTTTTGAAAAGCGGAACGCAGAAGCGGATCCCCCTGTTATGTAATTTATTCAAAAAATTCAAATAATATTTTGTTAATGTAAATATAGAATCGAATATCGAACTCAAAGGGACTTTCATACAGGCCTTTTTTCTCGTACTCGTATTTTTGAAAGTGTATTGTACAATGCTTTTTGGGACAATCAAAAGAGATGAAATTTTGCGGACTGAATTTTTTTGCGAAAAAAGTGAGATTATAGAATCACGTTGACTAGCCATGATAGAGAATTGAATGGGCTAAAAAATAAGCAAAAAATCGTTTAAAAATATTGACAACAAAAAAAGTTATAAGGAACTTAAAAGTGTCCGGTTACTTATGGCGCACCCTGTATTTTGTACACAGGTACGAGTAAGAATTTTGGTACGAGCTTCCGATCCCTGCTTACTATATTATAATTAAATATTTAATTAAGGCTGTCCAAAATAGAGACAAGACTGAGAGGAGTGTACATATAAGAGTCGAGATAAATATTTCAAAGAATCTCGATTCTAAATATAACTGAGATTTTTGTTCGAGATTTTATTTCGGTCCGGCAGATGAAGAGATTCAATTGCATATTTAATTAGACATAAGGACCAAGTAAATTATGAAAAATAAATTTTTAAAAAATAATTTTTCCAAAAATTAATTATTTAAAATAATACTCGAAAATAAAAATTAATTTTTTTCTGTTAGATTAGTATTTTAATAGAAAATAATTAAAAAACAAAAGAAAAACGTGTTTTTAATTTATAAATATAGATTGAAGTTGATGTCAAGTAATTAATTAAGAATATAAATTAACGTTTAGAGTCTAAATTTTAATTGAAAAAATGGCTTAATAAAAACTTTGATTTTATTAAATTTAAAGAGCAAAATAAAGAAATTTGAAGGAAGATAGAGATTTTTAAATTATAAAGTTATACGTTGACCACGTTACTAAATGAAAAAAAAATGATAAAAAGTTATCAGCCTACGTTTTTGAAGGATTATTTTGACAATAAACGATTCGAGCAATATCAAAAACTTATTAGTTTCGAGGGTTTTAGAGTGGAAATTATTTTTAATTTTTAAAAATTTTTCGTTAACTTTTAATCGCTTAAATTTTGAGAGGCAAAAAAAATTTCTTAAAAAATTTCGAGATTTTTAAAGCTTCGAAGTATAATAATTGGCTAAACCAAAAAACATTTTTACGACTCTAATCATCCTCTCGATATAAATTAAAGCTAAAACGCTTATTTATATTTGTTTAGCATAAAATCGCGCATCGTTGTTGTTTATCCCGCATAGAAAACACCAAAAAATAAACTCGCAAAGATTTACGAGCCCTAAGGCGAGAAAGGAGATGAGTTCTTTAATAACTTGATTTTCCTTAATAATTTCTTTTGTTTTTGTTATTTAATAAAAAAAAAGAAGAGAGTAAAGTATAAATTAGAAAAAAGAGAAAGCAGCTAAATAAAAAACAAATAATAATATTTTTAATAATGAGATTTTTTAAAAATAAAAAAAATTCTAAGAAATATTAAATTTTGAATTAAAAATTGAAAAATGTTTGAAAAGATTCAGAAATGTGTCGATTTATGTCAGGGATCTAGCCGACCCGATTCCCGAAAATCGGGAATTTCATTTTGATTTCGGCTAGAACCTAGTTTATATTTTCATTTAAAAATCGACGTCGAACCCTGTACATAAATAAATATTTTAAAAAATTTTAAGCGATCTAAGGAATAATTCTGAGTCTACAAAATTCTAAAAAGCAAAAAATGAGAGAACGGACGGACGAAAAAACAAGGATGGACTAAATCTTACCAAAATTTTATTTATTCTCGGGTATCATAATCAAGATTTCCAAATTTTAGATTGAATTTTAATATGATTAAATTTGGACATGTATTCTTGGCAATGAAAAGAAAATTGTGAATCAAAAAATAAAGATGAGAAAAAAGTTATAAAATTAGTATCATTATTTGAAGAACACCCCCCCCTCTCTATAATTTGTTTCATGGCCTAATAATTTTTAAACTTTAGATTGTAATAATTTTGCTACATATATTATTGCACAATTTTGCAATCAAAAAACTTGATCTTTTTCCTCTCCTCTTCTATAAATGCCTACACACTTCCCCTACAAATTTTGCAAGTCCAAAAACTCGTTCCAACAAAATACTAAAAATATAAGCATTTATTGAAGGATATATTTAAAAAGGGAAGGGGGAAATGTACATAAATGTGGAACATTATAAAATAATAATAAAATAAATTGTTGGAATGACGCAAAATTTTTTGAAAATTAAAAATAAATTAATTTAATAATAAATTATGCAGGTACTTTTCCGTTATCCCTACAGACTTTTTGCGGACTTTTTTCTCTCTTTTTTCGGAAAATTTGCCCGCAAAAACTGTTATGAGATAACTCAAAAGTAACCTGATTTGAATATACCATAGGGATATAGAGAGAAATTGAGGAAAGAAATATGATTTTTATTTACATCTTCCTCCGAAAATGAAGGAAAATGTCCGCAAAAAGTTCGTAGGGTTAACGGAAAAGTACCATTATTCCAAAATTTATTTTTAATTTAAATAGGAAATTTATTTTTTTCTGATTATTTTGAAAATTTTTTTAGTACTTTTTTTTGGCTCAATTTATTTTTCTTTGTTTTTAATAAATTGATAAATTAAGACAAATTAATGTAAAAATAAACAGACAGACAATTTAATGTATTTTTAAAGATAAGAAAAATAATTTTATAGGCTTAAAATAAAAATTATTACTTTAAATAATTACTTATTTTGAAAAAAAAATAAAAAAAAATTTTGGACGAATAATTATAAAATCAACTAGTCTCTTCAATGTTGTACAAAAGAATAAACGAGATCTGACAAGAACTAACAAACTGTGCTTTATCTCGATTAGAGAAAGCACAGGCTGGGAGGGCTTTACGAGAATCGAGATGTCGAAAAATTGCCGATCTCGATAACCAAGATTTTTGATTATGATCTCGTCTCGATCCGGTCTCTAATTACGATAAAAATAATTATAGAATAGCGACGTACAAAAAAAATAACTGAGCGCCGAATACGTTGTTGAAGACAGAACAATAATAAATAAATATCGAAACATTTCGTTTCATATCGAAACAACAACCGAAACGTCGAACATTTCGGTTCGGATATAGGACCCTGGAAATCCGAAAATGTATTTTTTAGACTAATCATTTAACAGATTTAAAGAATAATCATTTCATCGAATAGACATTTTAACTAATTCTAAATTAATTTTTCAATCATAAATAATTTAAATTTAAATAATTTAAATGAACTATTTGTAATAAAAATTGAAAATACATCTTAAAAAAAGCTTTTTTAAAAGTCAGCTGGAAAATGTCTGACAGAAATAAATAAATAAATTTTTAAACCAAGTTTTTCTCTTAAAGATCCGCGCAAAGCAAAGAACAGAATGATTTGCGTGTTGCATGGTTTGCCCACAATTTGTATAAAGAAAATTTTGGGGAGAGAAAAAAGTGCATTTGATGTTACAATGGTCATTTTGAAGGAGAAAATACTTGGAAAATTGTGGGGAAAGAAAAATAATAAGGAAGAATTTTGTTGGAGGAGGCGGAACTGGGTGCCTGTTTATTCGCAAGTGATTTGACAGAAATTAAAATTTTTTAAAATGATTTGTCATTATTATTGGATAGTATAGGATATATGGATAGTCTCTATCGATGGATTAAAACACAACTTCGGGCAAAATTTAAGGAAAGTAAGTCTCCGAGGTCGTCGGTTTTAGATCGGAAATTATCGCTAATATAAGTGTGTTTGCTACACAAATTTTTTCTTCAAATTTGTTAAATGAGTGAACGTATCAGCTGTTATGTTATTGTAGTCATAATCAGAGATAGGGCAGGGACGAAACCTCGAACAAAAATTTTGGATATCGAATCGCTATTTTTCTAGGTATCATAACTAGGGACAGGACTTTAGTGGTTGTTCGGTAATATATCGAAAAAAATCGAAAAATTTCGAAAAAATCAAAAAAATTATCGTTCGATAATATCGGATAATATCGGTATCGATAATTGATGATATTGATATCGAATTTTTCCATCAGTATATCGTATCGATCCGGTCTCTAATCATAACCCTCCCCGTCCGGTTTCAAATCATAATCTTTGGCATGTACATATAAAATTAAATCCAAAAATTACCCCAAAATAAAAATTTAAAGCGAATATATGGGTGGTGTAATCGCGATTCACGAGAAGAGGATTAAGCATTTTCTCTCTTATTCTCTCAACGGCAAACGGCCGAAAATTGAGAAAAATGGAAAAATCTGAGGAATAAGAAATTGTTGGAAGAAATAACCAATATAAAATATAAATGCTGTCAAATTCGATTGAATTCAAACTCAACGAGAAAAACCGGTATAAAGAATGAAAAATGTGAATATTTTTTGTTTTTCTTCAAGCTAATAAGCGGAAAATTAGCTAAATTATTTTTGAATTTAATGATTGGGGGTTTTGAATATTTTAAAGTGATCAATTCAATAATTTCTTAAAAAGTAACGAAGAAAATAACGTGCCGGTGTTTAGACGGGTCTATATCTCGTGTTTAGAGGTTCAGATTTCAGGTCGCCTGAATCCTCTTGTGGGTGGATTGGAAACAAGCAATTACCTAAATATATTTTGATGAAATATGGTGCCCTTGAGTGAATGACTGCTCATTTTAATTTTAGATACTATGGCCATTTACAGGATTTAGGGGGCTGGAATCTATAAAAAGTGAAGTTAATGGATATTTAAATAAAGTACATTTTCATTCTTAATAGTACAGGGATCAGTTCAAAGCATTGCTCTTCCATTTAAAGGTCGAATCTCTTCCCTGAGATATTTTGATATCGAAATTTCTTAAAATTAAAATTTTATATGAGTACAAATTCTAAAAATAAATTTAATAAAATAAAAACTTATGGATGGTTTAAAACTTTTTGTTGACACATAGCGCATAATATGCGCAAGCACAATTGACCCATAAAGATTTATTGAGCAGAAAAATAATTTTTATTCATGGACATAAAAAATAAATTTTTTTTTAATTTTTAAATTGATCTTAATATTTATTTTTTATTAAATTAATTTTTTATTCTTCATATTCAGCTTCAATTACTTATTATTAATATGATTTTGTTTTACCATCTATCACACCATCACATTTAACATACGTTAATGTAGCATTTTGAACGCTTCCTACTGACAAACTTTCGAGCTTCTCAAACGCAGGTTTTGACAATTTCGCGTGTGTTGCTGAACATTCGTCACAGATATCTCTGACAGGGACTGTGATGCTTAAAATTAAAATTTAGAACAAAAATTAAGAATTTCTACCATTTCCCGTTGTAATCAACTTTAAGACAAACATCGCAAAGCGGATCATTTACTAAACTAAAGGTCCATTCTTTATTGCTAATAGCAACTAACAAATCATTTTCTGCATCAGTCGGATCTCCTACACAAAGGCCATAACGTAGTTCATCATAGAAAGTGATTGAGCCTGTAAATGGCTCGTTTAACTTCCATCCAATGATAAAGTTTGAGGAAATAATTATTAAAAAAATAAAAGTAAATAAATAGTGAATGGTGTCCTTAAGCATTTTTTTCCTTCCTCAAAATGTCTGGAATTGTCAAATTTTTAGATTGTCTTTTTTAATTGTTCAAGAATCGTGGACCATTTTACTAAAACTTGTTATGATATGGATGACATTTACTCTGACAAGTTTTACTCAAAACCTTATGAATAATGTTGGTTAGGTTCGGACGATCGAATTGGACATCGAATTTTGGCCCGGAAAAGACTAAAAGGCCCGGTTCGATAAAAATGAGCCCCAAAAAATGACTCGAACATAGGCCTGATTCGTTAACCCCAACCCTAGTTATGAATAAAAATTAAGGGAAGGTATCAAGGAATTGAACACAATTATTTTAAAATTTCTACACAATTATTTTAAAATTTCAAATTTTATTTAATGATAAAATAATTTGTGTCATCTTCCTTTTATCTCCATTCAAAATTTGTTAATTTTGAATGGAGATTGTTGTCATGCTTCACGAAATAATTTATCATCTTATTGTTATTTTAGGAGTAAATAATATTTTTTTATAAATTTTTATTTTTAATTTTTCTTTTTAAAACATTTACTTATTGTTTTTTTAATGAAGTATACTAAGCTTAATTTAAAAATAATTTCCTCATTCTAACAATTTTTTTATTTTGCTTCGATGAAATTATTTTAATAATAATAATAGAGAATTGTTTTATTAGGAAATATTTTTATGAAATTTAAGTTTATTTTGATATTTTTTGTGGTTGTTGTGATTTTTTATCTTTGATTTTTTAACTTTTATCAAATTAATTTTTATTCTTCATATTCATATTCAATTACTTATATTTATTATTTTTTCTCGTTTCCATCTGTCACACCATCACATTTGACAAATGTTAAAGTAGCATTTTGAACGATTCCTACTGACAAACTTTCGAGCTTTTCAAACGCAGGCTGTGACAATTTAGCGTCTGTTGCAGAACATTCATTTGGATAGCAGATATCTCTGACAGGGACTGTGATACTTAAAATTAAAATTTAGAACAAAAATTAAGAATTTCTACCATTTCCCGTTGTAATCAACTTTAAGACAAACGTGGCAAAGTGGATCTTGACTTGGAAATATTCCTGTTTTAAATAGTGTCGTGCTAACAGCAACTAACAAATCATGTTCTGAATCAGTCGGTTTTGTTACACACCAACCATATAGTAGATCACTATAAAAACTCAATGAGCCTATAAATGGCTCGTCTAACTCCCATCCATGGATTGAGGAAATAATTATTAAAAAAGGAATAATAGTAAACAAAAAATGTAAGTTGTGATTGAACATCTTTAAAGATAATGGTTACCGTATTTACTCGATTAATTCCCCCGAGGAATTATTTTTTCAACTCATCCCTGTCATGGGGAATTAATAGGGGGTGGGGAATTATTCGAGGGTGGGGAATTAATCGAGTAAATACGGTATTTTGAATTTCATTCCTTCTCAAAATACTGCATAATGTTCAGGCATTTTTAAATGTCAAGACTTCCATGAGATTTAAAAATGTCCCTCCCTATTAATTACCCTCTCCAGCGATTACCCAGGGTAATTATTCGAGAATAAACGTAAATGACAAAATTATAAATGAAAGGCTTTTAGAATCATGGACTACTTCACTGAAATCAAGCCTGTTAATAAATTGGACTTAAAGTAATATTCACTGGATTAAGGTGTTTTTTTTATCAGATTTGAGAATTCCTAAAAAATGGACGGCATAGGAACTCTGACCATTATGCGCTTTTTGAGAAGGAAAAAAGGAAAAAAATTTCAAAACTACCTAGTTATTTTCTAATCGAAACTTTTATTTACTGATGAAATATTTTATGTCTCTTGCTTTTATTTCCATCAAAATTTGTTAATTTTTGTTATGATGCGTGGAATACATTTCTCATCTTATTGTTATTTTATTAGAAAATAATTTGTTTTTAAACTTTTTTCTAAGCATTTATTATCCATCATTATTTTATTTTATTTAGTTTACTAAGCTATTTTAAAAATAACTTCCTTAATAAAACATCTTATTAAATTTTTTGGCCTAGTTTAAGGGACTTCCCGACACTTGCGAGTTTAAATTTTGAGGATCCGACCTTTAGGATACGGCTTTTGAGGATACGGCTTTACATACATATTAAAATACACCTTCGAAAAACTAATAATAGTAGTTTTTATTTTTATAGTAGAAAATAATTTATGTTTAATGTTCTACAGAAGTCGAAAGAATAATTTAGATTAACAGAAATAAATATTAAAAAATTATCACAAATATTTTCATTCACAATATAATCCCTCTTTACAATAAGGAGATATATTTGGATATTTTTTAGGTTCCGGACCACCCAAATCACCAACATAACGTTCTTGTATTGAAGGATCTAAACCACATGGACGAATAAATTCTTGTCCTCTTTCGTGTATCCAAGAATTCGAAACCCATTTATCGCCAAGCAGAACGGGACAGGCTGCATGCCTAAAAAGATTATCAGAGCTGTTTCGTACAAAAAATCTTAGAAAATCGGAAATCGAAAGCTCGAAACAGCTCTGTAACTATTAAATAAATAGTTAAAAATAGGGTAGCAATACGACCCTTCGGGGTCAGGCTTTGTCCGAGATCGGGGTTTGTCATGTAGACCCTTCGGGGCTCGGGTCAGGGTTTTTCTCCAAAAAATCCGTCGGGGTCGGGATCGGGGTTATTGGGGTCGGGTTGCTACCCTTGTTAAAAAAAAAACCCAAACATTGTTCTTATATCTCCTTTTCCACTTCTCCACAAATTATACCAAAAAAGAGCATCGTGCTTAGTTGGTTTAGCAATTGTTTTTATCTGATTAAAGATAGTAAATCCACCCTTTTCTGGGGTACTCAAATATAAAAGAACTGTTGCAATTCTATTCCCAATTCCCATATTTTGATGTCCTTTTGTTGCATTTACAGCTTCATTTTCCTACAAAATATATTTTTAAATCAAAAATTTTTAAATTAAATATTAGAATTAGAGCTATTATTCTTTGTTCATAGAAATTCAAACAGTCTTTATTATAAAAATAAACAGAAACTACCGTATATCCTTTAATAACTACCCTGGGTAATTATTGTTTCGACTTTCCCCTGGAGGGAGTAATTAATAGAGGGAGGGTAATTATATGTGGTTTTAAATTTGAACGTGTTTTAGGGCATTTGTTGGGGGGGGGGTAATTATTGTTTCAATCCATCGCTGGATGGGGTAATTAGAAGCGGGGTAATTATTTGAGGAAGGGCAATTAATACAGGTTATACGGTAGTTCCAATCGAATCCTCCTTTTAATTATCACGGTCTTGAAACTAAAGCCAAAAAATTAAAACAGACCCTAGCAAAATCAAAATGAGGTTCATATTGTCCACCAACTCCATAATTTCCCATCTTTAAAATAAAATATAAAAAATTTTCAGATTTATTAATTCTACTTGAAAAGGTTCAGCTGACTTCATATTTAAATTAGTCATTAATTTTAAACGTTCAAATAATTGTTTAACGACTGGATGGGTGTTTGCGTTAAGCCAGGCACTTAATTTTAATTAAAATATAACTAATATTTTAAGCCAAACTTTTTGCTAATTCTATATTTTGAAAGCATGGCTTCACCCGTAGCAGCATTTTGAACCCTAGCTATCATTAATCTTTTTAACGCTATATTCTGCATTATTTCGATCTCTTCATCACCAATAACATTTCGAAATATAACGGCTAAGGGTTCAAATCGAACTATTTCAACTTTGATTGGGGCTAAACGAAGGAATGAGCAATCCATTTTGTAATAACAATAAAGTTGGGATATTTCTGTTGTATTCTAAAAATTAATTAGAAAATTTAGTTTTAAATAATTTTATGGGGTCATTCCTGTATACACCTATATATTTTAAAAGCATATACATATCAAAATTAAATCTTTTTAATTTTATTATTATTTGCTCGGAACTCGTTTGCTTTACGTAACCACCCCATTTATTCGCAAGCTCAGAAGGGTCAAAGCAAACCTATTGGAATCGGCAAGACGTTTGTTGACACCCTCACGGGAGTCAACGGTTGCTCGGCTTTGTAAGCGGTAGCATGGGTCTATTGTTAACTTGCAAATAAATGGGGTGCTTGGAAGTTTGTTGGGTAAGTTTATTGTTCCTTCCAAAACTTTACATTATCCTTAGTGCAAAAACATTCCCCGATGTTTAAAATAAGATGCTTGATATTTAGCTTGTACAATAAGATTGGCAGATAGTTGGAAATCTTCGGATATCCGGAACCGAAAATTTCGGATAACCGGCCTCTTTTTAATCGTTATTGTACAAATAATAATAAAATGTTAATGTTTGCTTTCATATATAGGGCCAGAGCTATATCCAGGGATATCCCCATTTTTAATTAACAAACAATTTCTTTTTCACCACGACAGAGTTCTTCATAAGCTTTACGGTATGCAGGAAATAAATTAGAAGCATTATTCGTTCTTGTAATATTTAATGGAGGTATATTTATACGGAAATCTTCTTTAGCAACTCCATTATCCAGTAATTCTTGTTCAATTAATTTTGAATTATTTGTTGCATTTGGATATAAAGGATCTTTTTTAAGGGAAAATATTTTTTCTAAAATTTAATTTTTATCAATTACCTAATTCAATTAATTTATCATTAATAATTAAAGCTCTCTTTAAATTTCCTTGTTTATATAAAGAAATTGACCAAATATTTAAAATATCAGTTTTATTTTGTGTAAATTCTTTTTGTGAATAATATCGTTCATTTGCTTCTTCCATCCATAATATTGAGTGATAATAATCCTTTTTAATAATATTATAATTACAAATTAAACGCCTATTTGTTCCCGAATTGAAATCGGGGAGGGGATTTATCTGATCGACTTTCAGGCTTCGAGTTGGGGTTTTTGGCATCGGGTGTGGATTGGGGGTGGCCCTTCCAGGGGTGGTCATGATTTTATCGTCTGATATCTCCCAGTTAAAAAGCCCTACAAACTAAATTAATAATTATGGTTGGTATCAGTAGGAGAGTGTTTTCTTAAATGTCTACAATTCCTCACATTAGCGCCGTAGGCGTTTTGATTTTTAAGGCTAATAAGCAGTGGGTGGTATTGGACATTAAGTGGCTTTTTTATCAACAAATCCTCTTACTTTAGTTTTAATTTCCAAGTTTTTGATGGTTTTTACGAACCTAGTAGAAATTCCCTTACTCAGAAATTTCCATTTTAGCTTCGTAGACGAAATTTTTATGATTTTTAAAGCTAAGAAAATTTTAACCTTATCATTATATGCAGCCAAACCTATTTCATAACAATCTTTAGCTGAAATAAATTTTATATAATTTAATAATCAAAAAATCTAACCATCCATTTGTTTGTTTATATTAACATCCTCAACAATTCCATTAGCCAAATCTTTAGTTTTTAAATGGTAAGTATCTTGTAAACGAAATAATCCTTGAATTGCTCCATTTAAATCATCCTTTTTTAGAAAAATATTTTTTAATATAAGGGAGATTGCAGGAAAAATAAAGGTACTTATCCGTTAAACACCTAAGAATTGAGTGACAGCCGATGCTGATCCGCTATAACTTTTTGAATTTGATCCATTAAATTTGAATTTTATATCATTCGAAAGCCTTCGATAAACAGTATCTTTTTTACAAGTTGATGAATCAGATCTGATCACTTGTTAACGGCTTGAATTATCGCGTTATAACTTTAATGAGTGATAGATTTGATCTGCCCAATCACAAAAAAGATATCGATTATCGACGGCTTCGAATGAACATCCAAATGGGATCTGGCCCAAAAAAGTTATAGCAAGCTGGCCCTCAATTTGTGGGTAGCTAACGGATTTTCCTCTATAAAAAATCCCACCTCATTAGGAAAACGAGTTTCTCTTTGTTTTGAAATATTTTTTAAATAATTTTCAGCCAAATCTGATTGAATTTCTTTCTTAATTTCTTTCCAAGTTTTTGTTAATTTTTTGATTACTCTAAGAGCAATTAAAGGATTCAAAACACTTTTTGGTTCCAATTCAAATAATTCACTTTTGTCTTTTGAATATTTATTTGCAATACTAAAATTATTTAAAAATTTATTAGTTAATTATCTCTTTATAAAATGTTTATTATTGAAAATCACATAAATTTCACCATCACAGGTTACCTTATCCTATAACCTGTTCCTTTTCAGCTCGAAACTTAACCCTTGAAGTTTTCTATTCCAAATCTACACCCGAACCCCGAGTTGACTTTTTTCGTAGATTAATTTTTATAAAATGGGGCAGATATTAAGGGGGTCAGAGAATAGTTAAAAAGAAACCCCATTATACCCCAATTCTTCAACATCTTCCAAATCACTTTATATCAATGAGCCTTCTGAAAATCCAAACGTAAGTATTTTGCACTCTTAACTCGACCCGACATTTTACTCAATATGTGACATCCATGTTCCCTACCCAGTCCCCACATATCACCTTCAATTAAGGTTATATCTTCATTTAAAGATATTATACAGCTTTTTACTATGGTAGCTCCTTGTTCTTACGTGGTTGAAAGTTGCTAGGAAGAGCATGTCGGGGTTCGTGGTCGGGTTTACTTTTGGGTCTGGGTTCGGGAGACGGGGAACTACCCTACTTTTTACTCTTAATTAGAGATTATTAATATCACCTCTATAAATTTAAATATTAATTTAATTATAAAATACCTTTTTAAATTTTCCAAACGTTTATTTTCCAATAAAATATAATTTTCTATAATTTTTGGAATTTCTTTTTCTACATGTACTAATTGTTGTAATTCTGCAGAAGATGTAAATAAATCTTGGGAATTAATTATTTTAATTAAAATAAATAAATTAATTAAATAAAAATACATATTTAATTTTATATGAATCTTATTTTAATTTTATGAATAAAATTATGTGTTGTCTTTTACTTCTTTTAAAGCCCCTTACTCCTTTACTAAAAAAATATAAAATAAATGAATATAAAAATTTATTTGTGTGTTGGATTTTTAATTTTTTTAAATTTATAATAATTTTTGCTCATATTTTTGGTACTACGTATTTAGAAAAATAAAATTTTAAGAAGATTTTTATAAGATACAATGAACTTTAATATAAATCCATTACCGAGTTTTTCAAAACTGACAGAGATTTTATAACAAAATCCTAATTCCTGAATATCAAAACCTTCTACAAATTTTTATAATCGACTCACTACAACTAGGAGACTAAAAACTAACTTTAAATTCTTCCACAAAATTCTGCATGGTAAAATAAAAATAAATCCGAAAGAAACTAGGTATTCTGTCTCGAGCAACACCTAATACCTATAATCAATTCCAAAATACCTACATATTTTCAAAACGCTTCTTGATCATATTTTTGATCAGATCCTACTCCAATAACATACATACTACCTATATTTGCTTTAATTTAATTTTCCACTTGTTTTAATTAATTTAAAATTTTCATATTTTCACTTTTCCAAGTGGCAAATAAAATTAAAAAAATACTTTAATATTTCAAAATTTTAAATATTGATTTACTTTCGCAACTTTAATATTTATTTTTTATTTTTTTAATTTTTACATTTATTGTTGGCTTTACCAAACTATTCTCTGTAAATATTTACATATTTTTCTTAACTTTTAATCGTAAAATTAAGTAATAAAAATGTATATTTTTTAGACAATTTTTATTTGAAAATATTTTTAATAAAAATCATCCAACACATTATTCTTTATTTTTGCAACTTTAAATAATTTTTTAAAGATTTTACGTGGAAAAAGTACATTCTATCAAAAATAATTCATCTTCCAAAGGGCATTTATTAGAAGGAATGGCCCCAGCTGGAGCGGACCATTGTATTTTTCGAAGAATACAATTTTGAAATTTGAGAATTTTTTTACTTGCAAATCCAATTGCCTCGAGCTTTGGATGAAAGGAAAACTGCATAAAAGTGAAAGGAAAACTTCAGGAATTGAATGTGAAGTCGAATGATTCTTTTTTTTAACGGGTTGAATAATTAAGAAGTTTGAATAATTTAAATTTTTACCGGGTTCGAGTGATTAGGAGGATTTCGAAAAATCATGCGAGATATCTTTTAATTTCTAAGTATTGTAAGGAAGAGAAAGACATGTTAGACATGTACAACCTCGAAAAACTATTATCTAGCTCTAAAATTTAACGATTCATAATTTTGACTTTTTTCGTTTCGTTTTCGTTTCGTACATTGATGATTTTATTTTTTTCGTTTTCGTTTCGTTGAGCGCAAAATTTCATTTTCGCCCAGCTCTGGTTCCGGTAGCTCAGTTGGTAGAGCACCTGTACGTGGTGAGCGAAAGCGCCTAGCAATAACTGCCAAGAGGTCGCAAAATCGAAGCCTGCCAGGGATTAAACTTTTCCCTCGCTCTTACTGTATTAAGATAGAGTTAAAATTAAGAGGGATATTGATAATTAAAGAGAGTAGGGATTATGATGGATACTGTGTATTAGATATATCGGGGATTAAAAAGATATGGAGGTGATATTGAAGGATTTGTAAGGATAAAGAGGAATCAAGATGATTTGGAGGAAAATTGTTTGACTGAGGAAATCTAAAAAATTAAAATTAAGAATAGATAGATTATTTACTCATAAAATAACTGTTATTTCAGGAGAGTTATTATTGTTGCACTTTAATAACGAGTCCAAAACATTGATTCAAGGTATTTGGATGTCCTCAATCAAACAATTTTTTAGATTTTTCTTCGATGAATTTATTGTAAAAAT